CAGACACAGCACCCCCAGGCGCAGGACCTCCAGTCTCCTCACGCGCAGGCTCAGCACCCCCAGACTCCGCACCCCCAGACGCAGCACCTCCAGGAGCACCACCCCCAACAGCACCAGAGTCAACAGTAACCGGCTGCAGAGGCGGCGAAGAAGGTCGCGGAGGGAACCCCGGAGGGGTCTCCAAGCGTGGTGCGCGGCGGAAGGCCGCCGGGGCGTCAGCAACAGCGGCACCCCCCTCAGGTGGGCCAGGGAAGTGACCTCCAAAGGCTCAGCCAAGGGGGGGGGGTCTACCTGAGACACACCTGAAGGAGCAGGACCCTGAGGGGGGAGGGGGTCTACCGGGGGGGGACCTGGCGTAAGGAAGAGCGGCGGGGGGGGAAGGGGGGCAGCGCGGTAGGGGAAGAGACGGTAGTACGGAACCGACTCGTCAAACGTGACGTCCTGGGAGGACAGAACACGGCGCGAGGTGGGGTGGTAAAACTGCCAACCAGGCGCGTCAGGGGGGAAGCCAAGGAAGACGCAGGGAACAGCACGGGAGGACAGCTTGTCCGTAGACAAGTCTCGGACAAAAGCCCGAGATCCCCAGACACGAAACGCAGACACATCGCCAACCTGTCGAGTCCACCTCAGAGTGGGGGAGGTGTCCGGCATGGAGACCCGGGGCTGAAGGTTGATCTGACGCGCCGCGTACTGAACCGCAAACGGCCACAGAAAATGGGGAGCAGCCGCATGGATCATGGACGTGCGAGCGACATCCATGACCATGCCAATGCGGCGCTCAGCAATCCCATTTTGCTGCGGAGAGGCCGGAAGCGTGAACGTCTGGCGGATGCCCCTCGCACGACAGAAGGCTCGTAGAGGGCCGGAGGAAAACTCTCCACCTCGGTCAGAGTGCAGACGCAGAACAGGAAAGTCCGAGCCGAAACTCTTCCTGAGCTGGAGACGAGCAGCGCGGATCCAGTCGATCAACACCTTAGTGACCTCATCCTTGCGGCGCAAGGGGAAGACTGTGGTGTAACGCGAGTAGTCGTCAACCACCAGCAGGAAGTAGCGCTCGTGACCCTGTCTACGGACGCGGGCTGGGCCCCACACGTCCATGTGAAGAGTCTGCAGCGGAGCCTCTGTCGGCGGAAACTCGGAGGAGTGAGGAGCGGCGCGCTGCCGCCCCTCGACGCAGGGAACGCAGGTAGGGGCAGGCCCCGGAGGGAGGGGAGGGAGAGACCGGGGGAGACCAGAGACCAGGACACGAGAGGCCATGCCTCGGAGGCGAGGCAGGGAGGGGTGACCAGGGCAGGCTGCCCGAACACGAGCAGCAGACGCAATTAAGAAGGCCAAAATTTTCACAAAAAGAAATGCTGTACTGCTCGATACACTGAACTTAAGACCGCTCGTCGTACCGAAACTACGACCGCGCTGCTGTGGATTATTTCAAATTAGCCACATGATTATCCCAGTTACAGCCCATTTACTATTGCCGACTGATTGGTACATCAGCCCATCTTTCCACGTCAGCCTGCTTCACCCGTACATCCCAACCACAAACCAACTACCGCGTCATCAACCGCCATCCATGACTCGCCCTACATCGGAGCCGATCATCAAGCCAGAATAAAAATTGAGCCATCAAATTCGCCACCTCACAGGCATCAAGAGGATCGAGTTACTCGTTCGCTGAAAGAGTCGCACGCCAACTGAAGATAGCTGGGTGCCCCTGGCCAACATCGAAAACCACCCTGCCCTACAAGTGTACCCGAGGAGCCAGGGTTTCCGCGATATACACACACTCGCATAGCGGAGGGGGCTTCTTGGCGAGGGGGGGGAGGGGGGGGGGGATAGTGTAAGGATTTTTCTCACCATTCCTTAGTGCGTACCTCAACATATTGTACAACAGCAGCCGTTGTTCGCCCGTTACTGCCTACGGGGCTTCACCAACTTGGTGCGCACTGTTTCACCAAACCATGCACCGCTGGCCTGGCCGAAACGGCCTCCACTTCGAAACTAGCCCGAACCTCAACGCCAACCTAGCACGGGCAAGCTCGCACGCACTGCGTTACCGTTTGCATGTTTCGCTCATGCTTTCGCTCATACTTTGTACTTGTTTGACACCTAGCGGAATCCTCGCTAACCCGTTCCATTGCACACGTAACACTAGACTATGTGTTCGGCCCTTTATTAGTTATGATTTGTTCTATGTTATTAAAACCAATGCACAGCCCCACAGAAGTGTACAGACCCACTTTCCACAGACGTAACAGCTGATTGGCAGTTGCACACCCGGCAGGACCAAAGGTCACCCGGTAAACTTGTTTCCTCGGGAAGGTTGACTGCGTGGTTGTGCAGGAGTTGACGATGGGTGTTCCAATTTGATGGATGATACTGTAGCAGCCCTTGGTCAACGATGAAATGTTGACAGAGGTCATGCAGGACAGTCCTTCCGGGCAGGTGGATTGAGACAGTTGTCTGTATTGGGGCAGCGGAATGATTCCCATCCCGCCAGCTCGGCACTAACGAAGTTCTACGGACGCTAGACTTGGGGGGGGCGCTCTGGGAGTTCCTCCAAACTCTAGTTTCCGCGATGGTTAGCGAGGATCGCAATATTCTGTATTACATCCTGAAGCCTCGCACAGTCGCGAACCTCCTTTCTGTGGGCAACTCGAAACTGTACCATGAATGGAATGCGTTGACCCCTGTCTTTCGGGTGCACGCACTAAGGAAAATATTTTTTGATGAACATGGAAATTTCGGCTGTCGTTTTCAACTCCTACAATAGTTGAGCTAGGGTTTCGCTCCCTCGCCAATTATTTCCATGGCACGTGCTAATCGCTTAGAAATTCGTTGCAAATCGGCCAGCACGAGAAGGAGCGCGGAGCTTTTGTACACTAAATCCTCCCCGTGTTTTTCCCTCTTGCTCGAGTCGCGCGCACAGGCACGCCGCGATGGGGCGCGCCCAGGCGAGCGGTGCACCGTTTTTGCGAGAGCGGTTGAAGCCCTTCGCAAGTGCGACCGCCGCACGGGGCCGGTGTGCAACGGGCAGGTCATGATGAGTGGAGACGAATGTCTGCAGTGGAGACACTGTCTGTGACAGCTGGCAGCGCCGCAGGGGGGGTCTCTGTACGTACCGTGCCGTGGTGTAAGATGGCATGGACCAATATTCCGTACGGATGAGTGAAATTCCTGCGACAGTGTAAAAGAATCATTAATTGTCAGAGAATTGGTCTTCCTTGTCCTTCCCCAGGTGAGTCCGCTCAGCCTCCACCACACTCGTGAAAGTGGCTCGCGGAGCAGCGGCGTGGACTCAAACGTTGACCTAGTCACATCCACCAGATCTCTCCGCTGGGTGCCCAGGCCCAGGGTCGTCGCCTGTGGACTCAAACGTTGACCACGCGGAGCATGAAGCTAGTAGTCGTACCACGTTCTGACCACAGGGTCAGAACCTTGGGGTCAGAAACAGGACACCTGTTAGTCACCTTGGGAATCCGGATCTCAATGGGTCAGCCGCAGGTCGCCAACCACTACTCGGTGATGTACCACTCCTTCCAGCAGGTTTCTGGGCGCATGATTTTTGAGTAGTACTAGTAGCTTCTGTTATACTTGTATTAGTCCGACACGCGGAATCAGGCCTTTTTGAGAGCAGCCAAGCTTTGCTCCGTTAGTAAGTCTAGGCTGCAGCCCAGACTTCAACATCAACTTCTCTGAGAGTTCTATCACAGCCCGCCGCAACCACGCTTTTCTTCCTGTCCGAACTCAGACAGAAGAGGGTCAGGTCTTTCGAGAAGTCCTCAGAGGGCACCTCTGGGTAACCCTCATTACACGGGTTTGTCGAAGACGAGTTGTCTTCCGACTTCCTACAGCGGCAATGGCTTGGGAGTTACCCACACCGAGTTTGCACACAGCCAACGAACCCTTGGCGAATCCTCCTCACCAATCTCCGCCGCGGGCTCGCCCTCAGCAACTGGGCAGCTGTGAGCCTTGCGAGCACAAGTCTGAGTGGCCCGGGTTGGGCGAGGTGGTGGCGAAGGTGGTGGCCTCCGATGGGCACAGCTGGCTCAAGTACGGCCAGAAGAAAGTGAAACACTTCACTGCCACAAGGTCGGTCAGGTTGACTTGCACTGGATTTTGCTTGAGTTTACTTGACTTCTGTTGCTTCTGGTGATGCGAGTTCTGTTGATTCTTGTTGAGCATTGTGGACTCTAGCTTGTCCACCTGAGTTGATTCCGTCATGCCCGTTGTGCTGGGCGAACCCATCCCCCTCGCTCCACCAGGTACTACTACAAGTGCAGCCTCTCCAAGGCCATCCCTCGCTGCCCTGCCAGGAAGACTATTGACCAACTTCCCCGACTCCATTCAAGTCACCTACCGATGCCGCAACCACAACCACCCCATAGCTCCCAGCCAGCGTTCGCCTTGTTACCCTACTGTCCCTCTTACAAACCACCCTGCCGTGTGCCATCTGGCTTCAGGTGCGGTTGTCGCTGAGAAACCCAGTGCCATTCGACTCGTTATTTCTGATGGGGAACTGAAAGGCCTCATGCTAGCCTTGCAACATGAGAGCGCGGGAGTGACTGCTGCTGGTGCTTCCTCTGTTCGTTGTGCTGCCTTTGATGCTGATGGTACCGCTGCTGGTGATTTTGCTTCTCGTGGTGGCGCTGATTCTGCTGCTCATGGTGGTGGTGCTGCTGCTGCTGATGGTGGTGCTGGTGCTGATGCAGATTGTGCTGCAGTAGCCCTCTTGCACTCTCCCTGTCAGGAGGAGCAGCAACGCATGTGCCAGTGGCTTCGCACGTGGGAGCGTCCATCAGTGTCCCGCCTGCAGATCCAGCGCCCATTATCATCTCCTCTGTCGCTGGATGGACCGAACCCCCTTAATGGCTGCTCCACGGACCTCAACAATAATGCTTCAGCTAATATGGGGAGGACCACAGTCCCTGAGGAGTCGCCTGTCAGTAGCCAAGGAAAGAATGAGAACCATGAATCGCATGATGAGGAGGAGGGTGTAACGGATGAGGGGGACTCTCTGCTGGGAGAAAGAACGCCTACAGACCAAGAACTTCAAGAGCTTTCACTGCAACACATTCTCAGCCGTGTGGAACTTCTATCTGATGACTATGAAGAGACGGCGACTGATGGCTGTGCCGCATCCAATGCTCCTGGAATTCAGCCTCAGAGGGAAGCACGTACACTGCAGCAGCAGCAGCAGCAGCAGAAGCAGCAGCAGAAGCAGAAGCAGCAGCAGCAGCAGCAGCAGCAGCAGCAGCAGCAGCAGCAGCAGCAGCAGCAGCAGCAGCAGCAGCAGCAGCAGCAGCAGCAGCAGCAGCAGCAGCAGCAGCAGTCATGGAATATGGCGGCTTTCCTGCTGTCGGTTGCTGATTCTATCATAGAGTGCTCTGCCCTTGACACTCTCGGGACAGTGCCTGCTGCTGTGCCTGCTATTCTCCCTGAACCTAGGGTCTCTGCCTCACAATCTATCGCAGGCAGCCCCTTTAACATGCCGACTCAAGCTGCCGTCGCATTGAGTCTCGCAGCTGAAACGAGTACTCCTCATACGTGTGTAGCTGGACCTGCTCATAGGCTTGAGAAAGGGCTGTCAAATCTCCCTGCCTCTGCCATGGTTACAACTCTGCCTGCTTCCCCTGCCCATGGCTGTGTCTGTGCCCGTGGCTGTGACTGTGCCCATGCGTGTGCCTGTGGCCGTGCCTCATGGGATCGGAGACAAAACAAGCCCGGCGTGGCTTGTGCATCGTGTGCGTGGGCGTGCAATGGGCCCAAGGAGCCATATGCCACGGATGCACCTTGGACCGAGTCTGCTCGCTGTGCCTGCAATAACGCCGCTGCCCATGACTCTGCCTCTGCCCATGACTGCGCCTGTGCCTGCAATAGTGCTGCCCATGACTCCGCCGCTGCCCATGACTGCGCCGCTGCCCATGACTGCGCCGCTGCCCATGACTGCGCCGCTGCCCATGACTGCGCCGCTGCCCATGACTGCGCGTGTGCGTGCCAGCACATCGAGGATGAAGTGCCTGAGGTGCATGGTGCACCCACGAGTCATGTGCCCGCCATCCCCGCTGTGCCGCCCCCCATCGCTGACCCGCCCCCCATCGCTGACCCGCCCCCCATCGCTGGGCCTTCAGGTGCCCAGCCGTCGGCATCGGTGGAAGCTCCCACGACACCAATGGCCACGCCCAGAACCAGCAGCACCCATTCTGACAGGCCAATTAGCACCCGCCGAAGGGGTTACAAACCCTGCAGTACCACCCACAAGGCCAGCAGCACAAGTGACTCGAAGGCTGATGTGAAACGGCGCAGGCAGCACTTCCTTCCTCTGGTTTCTCACCCACATGGCAGCGCAGTCAAACGCCAACACCGAATGGGTGAGAGTGAATTGCTCCATGCATCAGTGACTCGATCCGCTGTTGTCCAAGTGCCACTCCTTGCCACTGAACTGTCCGGTGCGGCTTTTACAGCTGATGGGGGTGCGCACATGCGAGGTGCTGATGGGGGTGCGCACATGCGAGGTGCTGATGGGGGTGCGCACATGCGGGGTGCATCCGTGACTCGATCCGCTGCTGTCCAAATGCCACTCCTTGCCACTCAACTATCCGGTGCGGCTGTCCTGGCTGATGGGGGTGTGTTCATGCAGAGTGCACCGCCCATGGCCGCAGTAAGCGATACAGGTTTGATACGAGGAGCATCAGTGAAGCAACAGCTCCAAGGTCCCCTGCGATTGGTGGTCCCCAAGCTCCAAGTGCCACTTCAATCCATGCAAGCGCCCCTGCAGGCTGTTCCGTGTGCAGCCTCTGTACAGCAAACACCCCTTCTCAAACAGAATGAAGACGGTGTACCCCTAGGTCCAGTGCTTAGGGTGGGCTCAGACCCCATTGAAGTTTTCCAGATGCCAGCCCAGCAGGGGGTGGTTGGGTCATCATCGCAGCAGGCGGGGGTGGTGCCCTTAATCTCGCCGGAAATGCTGGCATTTTTGGGAGGGACCAGCACCGCCTCTGAGGCGCCTCGAAAATCGTCTCATGACTTGCAGGGAGTGGTTGGGTCCTCGTGTCAGCAGGGAAGGGTGGTGCCCTTGATCCCGGCAGAAGTGTTGGCGTTTCTGGGAGGGGCCAGCACTTGCCGTGTTTCAGACTTTGTAACGGCTGGCATAAGGCAAGAACTGCAGTCGTGGCTTGACGGAGCAGCTTAAAAGGTCAGTTTTCCAGATACGAAGGGTGAAGGGTAGGATTTTTCGTGGGTAAGCATTATTCAGGTAGGCCAAAACAGTTTGTGTATGCTTTGGTGGGGGTGCGTATGCTTTGCATTTGATATATAATGCGTATAAACTTGTCTGTAAACATTGCAGTATAGTAATATACGGCAATATAGTACAGTAATTTACATCGTAGTAACATTGTTTGGCTATTCAGAAACGCCAATCTAGAACAGCAGTGCTTCTTCATTGTTGCAGACTGTCGTCAGTGTTTATGAAGTCAGGCTTTCTTCTTCTTTGTTATACCATATGATACTGTAATCGTGAGTGTCACATTTACCCTGCCAGAAGTGCCCGTTGTGTCAGCATGGGGTTAAAGATGGGAGTAGGGATGCCCATGCTCTCTTCCCCATACCAACCCCTATCCCATGTCCCTAACTGCTCTCTTCCCCATACCAACCCCTATCCCATGTCCCTAACTGCTCTCTTCCCCATACCAACCCCTATCACATGTCCATAACTGCTCTGATCCCCATACCAACCCCTATCCCATCCCTTGTTCCATCCCCGTCTATCCGTGGTTCCAACCCCATGCCCATGCTTAGTCCAATCCATGCTCATCCCTACTCCCATCCCCATGTGTATCCCTATTCCCATTCCAATGAACCCTATTCCCATCCCCATGCCTATGCCAAATCCAATCCCCATGCCCATACCTGAACCCATCCCAATTCCCAACCCCAATAATATCTCTAATCACATCCCCATACCTTCCCTCGTCCCATCATCATGCCCATCCCCATTGCCACACCCATGCATGCCCAACCCTAGTCGTCCAATCCCCATCCCAATGCCCATGCCTATCCCAACCCCGTTGCCCAACCCTTTTCCCGATTCCATGCCCATGCATATCAACATTCCCATGCCCATTCCATTTTCAATTCCCATACCCATACCCATCCCCAGTCTCATTCCTATGCCCTTAGTCCCATCCCCATGCCCATCCTTAAACCCATCCCATCCCAAAACCATGTCCATTCCTATCCGTAATCCCATCCCCATGTCTATATTTACTCCGACCCCCTTTCTCATCCTTTTCCCCATCCCCTTGCCTATCACTAGTCCATCCCCATGCTCATACCTACTCCCATCCCCATGCTCATACTGACTCCCATCCCCATGCCCATTTCTAGCCCCATCCACACTACCATCCCTAGCTCAACGCCCATGCCTCTCCCTATTCCCAATCCCATGCACATCCCTACTCACACACACCCATGCCCTGCCGGTTCCCATCCTCACGACTGTACTTGGTCTCATCCCCATGCCGATCCATAATCCCATCCCCATGTCCATCCCTAGTCCCATTTGCATGCCTATCCTTAGTCAGTTACCCATGCCATTTGTATTCTATCCCCTCACGCCCATGACCATACCCATCAACATTCCCACTCATACCCATGCCCATTCCTTTTCCCATCCCATACCCATCTAGTTTCCCATACCCATGCCTATCCCTGGCCCCATGATCATCCCCATCCTCAGTCCCATCCCCATGCCCGTTCCATTCCTAGTCTCATCCCCATGCTCTATCTATTCCCATCCGCATGCCCATCAATGGCCTCATTCCCATGCCCATGCACATATCTTTTTCCATGACTATACGCAGTCCCATGTGTTAGAATGATATGTTTGTCTAGCCTGCAGTGGGGTACTCTATAGCGAGTACAGCCCGAATTAGGGTTTGCTATATGTACTCAACTGCCTGCTAGTGAAAACCCCTCTTTCCTGTTTCTCGTTTTGCCTAGCTTTCTTGACATGCTATCAGAGCAGGTCGACCCTCCTGGGTCGATCCTGTGGGTGGTCCCGCCCGATGCTTCCGCTGCTGTCTTGTGTGTCGCGCGCCCCGTGGCGCGCGACGTTTTTTCTTCCCGCCACGCGCTCGGGGCGCCTGGCGGTTTTCTGCTCGCCGCGCGCACGAATCGCGCGGCGGTTTTCTGCCCGCCGTGCGCCCCGAGGCGCGCGGCGGTTTCCTACCCCGTCGACCCGCACGTCGCCCCCCGTCGACCGTCGAAGCGCCCCCCGTCGCCCGTCGACGCGCCCCTGGGCCCCGCGGAGGGCCGCGCGCGGCCCGTACGACCTGCGCCAGGCCCGCGCGCGGCCCGTACGGGCTGCGCCAGGCCCGCGCGCGGCCCGTACGGGCTGCGCCAGGCCCGCGCGCGGCCCGTACAGCCCGCGCGCGGCCCGTACGGCCTGCGCCAGGCCCGCGCGCGGCCCGTACGGGCTGCGCCAGGCACGCGGCCCGTACGGGCTGCGCCAGGTCCGCGCGCGGCCGCTGTGCACGCCGTCCCCCGAGCTGCTGACCGCGCCCCACCCCTGCTGCTGCCCGCGCTCCTGTTTTAGGGTTTGGGGGTGGAGAGTATGGGGGTGCCGTGTGTGTGAGCCGTCCCCTGCTCCTCCTCCTCCTCCTCCGTCTCCCACTGCTGCAGCTGCCGCTGAGGGGGGTGGATGTGTTGGAGCCGTCGGAGTTGTACGAGGGGGGTGGCGTGTGAGCAGTGCTAGAGGTGCAGCAGGGGGTGTGTGACACGGGTGTGGGACAGCTGGGGGAAGTTGAGTGGAGGCAGTCGTCTTGTCGTCCGCAGCGCCTGAAGTCCAGAGAGCCACGACCCCCTGTGGCCTGAGTAGTCCGGGGCTCTGCGCCCGGTAGCCACAGTGTGAGCACTCCTGGCAGTCCAGAGAGCCACGACCCTCTGTGGTCTGAGTAGTCCGGGGCGCTGCGCCCGGTAGCCATAGTGTGAGCACTCCTGTGAGCACAGAGAGCCAGCTGCGTCTGTCGCCGTGTAGTCCGGGTTTAGCCTGGTAGCGACAGTTCTGCGCACTCCTGTTGCTCGTGTGTCTGTAGTTTTGGCCGTCGCCTCCCATCTTCTCACCCCACAGTTTTTCCTCCTCCTCACTTGCCCTCTGTGATAGTCTCTAGCTTTGCTTATAATTGTGAACTACTGCTTTGCCTGCTTGTTGTGTTGATTATACCCCACTTTGACTATGGGGGTGTGTCAGAATGATATGTTTGTCTAGCCTGCAGTGGGGTACTCTATAGCGAGTACAGCCCGAATTAGGGTTTGCTATATGTACTCAACTGCCTGCTAGTGAAAACCTCTCTTTCCTGTTTCTCGTTTTGCCTAGCTTTCTTGACACCATGCCCATGTTCATCCCTTTTCCCATCACCATAAGTCTCATCCGGTGATGTGTAAAAGTGAAACTGAGTGGTCACATAGAGTCAGTTAAGGTAGTCCCACCACAGTGATTAAATAATCTTCCAGTGTCTTCGCACTATCCTAAGCACTGCACTTCCATGCAAACATTCATGGTTCTGCTAGCATGTTACAGTAGTTAACCAAATAATCGAACATACAAAACCCATAAAGGCACAATCTGTAACCGTTGGTTTTGTTCCTCACATCCCACTAGCGTTTACAGATTCCTTGTGTTACGGGTTGTCAGAGGTCCACTGGTGATCCCTGATTGATCCTAGGGAAGGGTTACAGGCACGTCGGCTTGGGGGGTTATGGGCGCACTCACCCGCTACACAAACAAGCCCTTTTATCCCAGTAGTTAGTGGCTGGGATTCTGACATGGTATCAGAGCGAAGGTCTTGGGTTCGAATCCCGGTGTGTGCACCTCGGGCATCCCAGTGCGGGGGGGGTGTCAGAGGTCCACTGGTGATCCCCGATTGATCCTAGGGAAGGGTTACAGGCACGTCGGCCTGGGGGGCTATGGGCGCACTCACCCGCTACACAAACAAGCTCTTTTATCCAGTGGTTAGTGGCTGGGATTCTGACACATGTAACATTCTTATGGGCATCTCAGAGGAACCTTTTGAAGGAAGCAATGGCCACACCACCGGACCGGAGATGCAAGCTATTTGCAGGGCAGGTATCTGGAGCGGCCCATTTGAGCACAATAACGCCGCAAAACCACTCCTAAGAAGGGCTGGCATAGCTATTGAGGCATGCCTCTCGTGGATGACCGAATGCAATATATTGGTATTGTTATGCAGGAACACTATTGTACCGTATTCTCCCTGACATAACACCCTAGGGTATTTGTAAAAATACTGGAAAAAAAAAGGGGGGTGTCTTCTCATAGGAAAAAGCTACATAATACCCGGGTCCTTACATATGGCATATTTTACTGTTAATGTTTTTTAAATTAGACAATGTGGCTGTTTTGTTGGCCGTTTTAACATCACTGTCTGAGGCGCGAATGTGAGTTTCGGCCGCGAACTTCATCACCCCCACGAAAATGCCATGTGGCACATTGCTGGCCACTTGCAGTGGAAGATTCACCAGCACGTGGCAGGGGGAAATAGTGGGAGGGGGGAAATCTCGGCAGATAGTAAGGTAAGTAACGCGAAAATTCATCAAGGGAGAAATTCTCGCGATATTCTTCCGTATTGCAGCTACTCGTTAACGACTATAATAACGAATCCGTAAGAAAAAGAGGGTGTTATAGAAAATCAGCCAAAAAGGGGGGTATAGTGAAAACGAGGTCGCCCATAGCATCCACCCTGCCCAAGCTACCCGTGGGTGCTCTATCATGGGGGGGAGTTTGTCCGAAAATATATGCTATATTTTCTATATGTAACAGCCTGTAGGATTTGGTACTGTAGTTATAGCCTTTCTAGTTGGTGGTGCACCATTCTTGCTTTTGCTTGCCTATTTGTACTGTTTGCTCTATAGTGAACAACCCCTTTTGTTGGTCCAAGTCTCTCTCGCTACTCTCGCTTTGGTCAAACCCTAGCCATGACGCCTAAGTTTAATCTACTATCTTAACATGGTATCAGAGCTGGTACCTCCTAGGACCTGATTTTCATGGGCCCACCAAACCCGCCACTGTCCATGGCGGTCTCCTGTTCTGCTGTCGCGGTTGCTACTGCGAGTAGCGTGATATTTGCAGATGCTGGCGCTGTTATTGCTGCACCAGTCGCGCTGCACCCGTCGCGCTGCCCCGTCGCCCCGTCGACCCTGCTGTCAGGGCGACGAGCTTGGCGGCTCGCGCTGCCCCGTCGTCCCATCGCCTCGTCACCCGCCTCCTGCTACCCGCCCCATCCCGCGCTGCCCCGCCCCTCGTCCGTTCCGAGCAGCCGGAGGAGCCACGCACAGCCGCACGCAGCTGCGTACGGCCGCGTGAAGCCGCGCACAGCCGCGCGCAGCCGCGTACGGCCGCGCGCGACTGCGCCGCTCCCCTGCCCCGCACCTGCTGCTCGTACGCCAGTGACAGGAGGGGGGGGGGGGGGGGGGGGGTGGGTGTGGCACGGTGGGTGACACAGCTCCTGCTGCCGCTCTTCGCCTTTTCCTCCCTCCCACTGCTGCTGGTGCACCCGTGGGGGGAGGGGGAGTGTGAGGGGGTGGCGAGAGAGATTTTGCTGCACCAACAGCCTTCCCCCCTCCTCTCTCCTTCACTGCCGCGTGTGCAGCTGTGGGGGGGAGGGTGAGAGAGGGTGGCGGAAGTCAGCTGGGCATCTGCTGCTGCCGCCCGCTGCTACCGTGGCACCTCCAGCTGCCGCCCCTGCCGCCACCTGCCCTTGTTTCTGCTGCCTGCTGCTGGGGCCTGCAGGTGCTGCCGTCGAGCCGCTGCTGTCCTGCTGCACGTTGCAGCCACAGAGCCTGCTCCTCAGGCAACCTGCCGCCCCTACGCCTCCTTTTGTTTCTGCCTTGGCGGAGGGTTTGGTTCACCTGGATCTGCCATCACTGCTCTGGTTGCCACTGCTTTTGCCTGCCACTGTTTCTTCCGCTGCACCCTGTCTTGGTGTACCCCTTCAGGGGGCGTCTACTGCATATTCCTATCCTACAGGCAGTTATGGGGGAGTGTCCGAAAATATATGCTATATTTTCTATATGTAACAGCCTGTAGGATTTGGTACTGTAGTTATAGCCTTTCTAGTTGGTGGTGCACCATTCTTGCTTTTGCTTGCCTATTTGTACTGTTTGCTCTATAGTGAATAACCCCTTTTGTTGGTCCAAGTCTCTCTCGCTACTCTCGCTTTGGTCAAACCCTAGCCATGACGCCTAAGTTTAATCTACTATCTTAACAGTGTTTTGTCCGGGAGAATACGGTACTAGGAAGCCTGGTAGGTTCAAACTTGAACTATAGCTCAACATAAGCAAGCAGAAAGTTTCTCACGTCTTGCCACAGACCAGGCCTGAATTGCTTCAAAGCAGCGCTTCCCGTTGTATTCGCCACATCACCTGCTATAGGCCACTTCCCATCCACCCATTCCCTCAAACCACCCACCTCTGCATCCATGCGCCCATACGGATCACTACTGAGCGCTTTAAAAGGCGACTCACTATAAGCCATGAAGTCTCTCACAGCTCGCCGCCCTTGTGATGGCTCCAGCAACTCATGCCCACTGGCCTCCATTATAATCACAGCTCGCTCAGGCCACTGTAGCTCATAATCCCCTCCATTATCTCCTAATACTCGTCTTCCGAGCCTTTCACACCCTGAGCCGGCCATTGAACCATCCCGAGCCTGCTCCTCAGCTTCAGAAATCTTCCAGCAGAGCTCCTCCAGCCACACCGCCAGTGCAAGCACTGCCACCGGACCTCGGTACAAGTGCAGGTCTAGGGACCAAACCGGGCCAGCCAGGCTCGGCACAGGCTGGCTCGGCGGTGTTGGATACGCTCCAAATCTCTGAGCCTCTTCCAAGACCAAACAGGCTCGGCGAAGCCTGCCAAACCTGCAGAGAGCAGCGGCGAGAGAGGCAAAAAGGGGACGCATAGAAGCAGGGTGGGCAGTGCCTTGGACGCTTTTAAGAAGCTTCCTTAAGTCGTGGAACAGAGCCTTCTCTTGTGCTGATGAGGCGTCACATCCTGCCAGCTGTTGCTGCCACTCCTCTCCTCTGCCCTGCGAGCCTTCTCTCCCACGCACCTCTTGCTGCTCCTCTCCTCTAAACTCCTCTCCTCTGCTCTCCAAGCCTCCCTCCAGCACCAAGCCCCTGCCCATCCCACCCGCCACCGGCCAGAGCTCCAGGAAAAGAGCGAGAGGGCGGAAGCGACCGGCCTGCAGGGACCATAGCCAGCGGAGCAGCAGTCGAGCTGCTGGGGATGGTGTTGAGAGAACCGCAGCATCATCAACCGCAGCATCATCAACCGCAGCATCATCAACCGCAGCATCATCAACCGCAGCAACAGCAGAAGCAGAGACAGTTGATAGGGATCCCACTTGTGCTGGTGCCGGTGCCTGTGCCTGTGCTTGTCCTTGCACCTGTGCCTGTCCTTGTGCTTGTGCCTGTAGTTGTGCTTGTGCCTGTGCCAGCAGCAAGAGCAGGGCAGCAGCGCACACAGCCCCTTCACTCATCCCCCACGCCTCCACCTCAAGCACCTCCTCTGCTGCCCCCTCCACCACCGCCCCGTGCCCCCTCGCTGCCAGCACAGCACTGTACGTCGCCACATCAGCACACATCCCCCGCCCGTGCATCTCCTCCAATAGCGCCTCGGCTCGTTCTAAAGCTGACGGTGCCTCGGGTGCCCTGGCTGCCGAACCTGTTGCCGAAGCCGCTGCTGGCGAAGCAGCTTCGGGCCGTCCCTTGCCTGCTGCTCTTCCTTCTCCCTCCTTCTCCTCCCAACTGTCAGCCACACCACCACTGCCACTATCACGAGAACCGTCACCATTATCAGCAGAGGCAAGAAAAGCATCGATGGCAGTCAAATAGCACTCCCTCTCAACCTCCTCTGCTGCTTCCCATGCTCTTTTCTCCCCATCCAAGAACCGCTCCCCACCTCCTCCCACCGCACCTCCATGACCATCCACTTGAGACACACTCCTACCCTCAGCCACTCCACCTCCCCTTCCACCTGCACTGAAATCTTCTCCCGAGTGGCTTTGAAGGGCTCCTGCCTGCCCCACCTGCCCCACTTGTCGTGCGATTCCCAGCATCTCCCTCATCCTTCCCACCTTCCCAGCAGCTCCAAACGCCTGAGCTGCTGCCACGTAAGCGCCAGCTGGCAGGCTCCGGACTGCTCCAGCTGGCGCCACGTAGGCGCCAGCTGGCGTCGTGTCCAGCATGCCACGTCGCACCGCCCGCTGCAGAGCCCCCTCCATCCCCGCCACGTCAGCAGCAGCTGCGCAGGCGGAGAGGAGAGCGGCGATGGTGGTCTCGTTGCGGGCCACTCCGTGCCGAAGCATGTAGGCCATGACTCGCCGCACGCCGCTCGGAGAGGCCACTGCAGCATATGCCTCAGCCATGGCGTTGCATGCAGATGAGGACAAAACGAGCCGGTGGCGGCCGCGCGGGTGGTGATGTGAAGGGGATGAGGGAGGGGAGGGGAGGGAGGACAGAACCTGATAGCCCTGATAGGCCTGGTAGGACTGATAGCCCTGATAGCTGCTCACCATTCCACCATACCCATCACCCTCATAACCCTCACCCCCGTACCCAGGCCTATCACCACCATAGCCATAGCTACCATTAGCACCGTACTCAACTCCTCCACCTACTGTCATTCCTGTTCCCATAGGCTCCTCTACCCAACCCCTTGACCCCCCTCCATTCCCCTCCCATTTCCTCCCCTCCCTCCCTCCCCATACTCGCCCTTCCACCATTATCCCCCCACCCACCATTCCTCCCCCCATCGTGCCTCCCCCCATACTCCTTCCACCTATCCCCCCCCCACGCATCCCCACTTCTCCTATCCTCCCACCTCCAACACCCTCCCTTGAAACCCCATCCCAAGCCGGACCACTCACACCCATACCAGCCGCTCCCATCCTTCCCACACTTCTCCCTTCTCCTGCCACGCCCACCCCCATCCCCCGTGCACCCATCCCCATGCCCTGAGCCCCCATGAATAGAGCCTCCATGTGAGAGAGCATGCCTGCCCGCGCGTATGCCTCCACTGCTGCCGACACCACCCCCATGCCTCCGCCCCCCGCCCCCACCCATGCTTGCAGCCGTGATGGCTCAGCCAGGGCAGGAGGGGGAAAGGATGAGGGCGCGGAGGAGGAGGAAGGAGAGGAGGAGGGGGGGGAGGAGGGAGGGGAAGAGGGAGAGGAGGAAGGGGAGGAAGGGGAAGAGGTAGTGGGTTTGGAGGAAGGGGATGATTGAGGAGTGGTGTTGAGAGGGTGGAGTTGCATAAGGCACCATTCCATCTCCTTGATCTCCACTGCTGATGCAAATGCCACCGCTGCAGCTGCAAGCAGCCTGCTGCGTGCACTGGAAGAATCACCACTGCCACTGCTGCTGCTGCTGCCACTGCTGCTGCTGCTGCCGCTGCTTCTGCTGATACCATTATTGCTGCTGCTGGGAGAGGAATTGTTTTCTTTTCGGGCAGCAAGGGGCATGGACTGCATCTGCTTGAGCAGGCGCAGGATTTGTTTGGGCTGCCCGGCGGCGCTGTAGGCGTCAGCGAGAAGGGTGAAGGTGGTGGTTGTGGGGCGCACGCCTATGGCTCTCATCAGCCGAAACACCTTCTCCATCTCCTCCACCATACCCGCCTGCAAAGAAAGTATGCATGGAATTGAAGGGGAAAAGGGGGAGGCCAGGTAAGGTAAGAGGGAAGGTGGTAGTTGTGGTACGAATGCCAATGGCTCTCATCAGCCGAAACACCTTCTCCATCTCCTCCACCATGCCCGCCTGCAACAGTAACGCGGGGAAATGGAGGAGGGGAAGGTAGGGCACAACCCGTTGGCCCTCATCAGCCAGAACAACTGTGCACCTTGATGGCCCTCACGAGGCACGACGCACCAGACCAGCAGAGACCCACCTGAGCCAGGTACCAGACCAGCAGAGACCCACCTGAGCCAGGTACCAGACCAGCAGAGACCCACCTGAGCCAGGTACCAGACCAGCAGAGACCCACCTGAGCCAGGTACTAGAACAACAGAGACGCACCTGAGAGTCAGGCTAAAAAAGCAGAGACACACCTGCGCCAGGTACTTGAGGGGCAGTTCAAACGACTCGACGTGCAATCGATAACGCATCTTCACCAGATGCAGCAGCGTGCGCTGCATGCGCTCAAACACACCCCGCCTGCGCTCTGCACCCCGCTGCCTCCCCCCTTGCTGCCCCTCCGCTCCTTCATCATCCCCTCTCCCCCTCTTAAACCCTCCAGCCTTCCCCTCCTGCTGCCCCCACTCTCGCTGTTCCTGCCCGTTCTGCCCATCGTCCTGCTGCCTCCCGTCAATCCGCCTCCCCTGCTGCTGCTCCTGCTCCGTGGCCTCATGCTGCGACTCAAGCCACTCGTTTCCCATGCTGTCGTGGCGGTGCAGGCATCGCAGGGCGTGGGCGCCATAAGCGTCCATGAGCGCGTGGAAGGTGTGCACGTTCGGTGCAGTGCGGTACCCCACCTGCATGTTCTCAAACACCGCCTCCATCTCCAATAACAAGCCGGCTCTGTGTGACGGAAGGGGGGGGGCAGGCACAGCGAAAGAGGAGAGGCAACACAGTGAGGCACACAGAAAGCAGCAAGGGTGTGTGTGTGCACGTTGGGTGCAGTGCGGTACCCCGCCTGCATGTTCTCAAACACCGCCTCAATCTCTGACAATAGCCCTGCCCTAAGTTTGGAGGGGAGGGAGAGGGGAACAGGAAGAGAGGCAGAGCAAGGAAGAGAGGCACAGCAAGGAAGAGAGGGTCAGTGAGGCACACAGGTAGCAGCACAGGTAGCAGCACAGGTATGCACGTCGGGTGCAGCGCGGTACCCCACCTGCATGTTCTCGAACACTGCTTCCATCTCCGCCAGCAGACCCACCCCAGGTGCGTAGAGAGAGGCACAACAAGACAGGAACAGCTAGGCACACGCTGGTGAGATCAAAGAAGTTGCCCCACATCAGCTGCAGCTGCCCCCTGCTCCCCTTCACCACGTGTCCCTCACCACCCCCTCTCAAGCAATCCTTCTCACCAACCCCTCACCGGCCGAAGCCTTTAATGAGAGAGTTGAAAGTGCGCACATCTGTCCTGAGTCCCACGCTGGTGAGGTCAAAGAACTAGCCTCGCATCAGCTGAACCTGCCCCCCTCTTAACTAGGCCCCTCCCCCTCCCTCCGCACACCTCCCCCTTATCACCCGTTCTCGTAACCCACTGTATACCTGCCAAACCCCTTGATAAGCCCGTTGAACGTGCGCACGTCCAGTCTGAGTCCTACGCTGGTGAGTTCAAAGAACTTGTCTCGCATCAGCTGCAGCTGCAACACTGCCCGCACACGTGTGTCGTTCGTAACACCCCTCTTAACCAGCCCATAGCCCTATCTCAACCCTTCAGTTTACCTGCCAAAGCCCTTGATAAGCCCATTGAAAGTGCGCACATCCGGTCTCAACCCCACGCTGGTGAGTTCAAAGAACTTGTCTCGCATCAGCTGCAGCTGCCCCCCTCTTAACCAGGCCCGTCCCCTTCCAACCCCATCACCCCCCTTTTCATCCCTTCCATTCTGAATACCTTCCAAACCCCTTGATAAGTCCGTTGAAAGTGCGCACGTCCGGCCTCAAACCCACACTGGTGAGTTCAAAGAACTTGTCTCGCATCAACTGCAGCTGCCCCGCACTCCCATACGCGTCTATCAGCGCGTTGAAGGGCGTGGCGTCTGGCAGCACGCCCCTGTGCGCCATGTCCGCCAGCAGGTCCTCAGCTTCCGTTGTGCGCCCCACCAAGCATAGTGCTTTCACTGCCGACCTGAGAAACAGAGGTGAGTAAAGAGGGGGGCAACATGGGGCGTGGCGTGTGGCAGCACGCCCCTGTGCGCCATGTCTGCCAGAAGATCCTCTGCCTCTGTTGTGCGCCCCACCAGACAGAGTGCCTTTACTGCTGACCTGCAAGAGGGGCGGGTGTGGAGGGGTGGGGGGGGGGGGGACAGAGGAAAGGAGGCGTTGAAGGGCGTGGCGTCCGGCAGCACGCCCCTGTGCGCCATGTCCGCTAGGAGGTCCTCTGCCTCTGTTGTTCTCCCTACCAGGCACAAAGCTTTCACTGCCGACCTGGAAAGAGGGTGGGTAAGCAGGGGGAAAGGGAAAACAAGAGGGCCATTGAAGGGCATCTGGCAGCACCTCCGCTAGGCACAGTGCTTTCACTGCCGTCCTGCCAAGAGGGGCGGGTGGCAAGGAGTGGGTAAAAGAGGGGAAAGGGAGGGGGCAGAAAAGAAGATGGGCGCCATTGAAGGGCGTGGCGTGTGGCAGCACGCCTCTGTGCGCAATGTCCGCTTGAACCTCTGCCTCTGTGGTTCGCCCCACCAGGCAGGCACCGCGCTTTCACTGCTGCCGACCTGAGTAGAGGAATTGGGAGAAGAGGGGCATTGCATCGGATGGCATGGCATGGCACGGCATGGCATGGCACGGCATGGCATGGCACGGCATGGCACGGGACAGCATGACATGGGATGGCTTGGCGTGGCATGGCATGGCATGTGGATATAGCTAACATAACTTCTCGAAGCTGACTCACCCATAGGCCGCAGCATCAGGTGCACAACCCGGACTGGCCTTCATCTGGTGCAGCAGGGCAAGAGCAGCCGTGGCTTGGTGGCGGCGGCCATACGCCTCGATCATCGCTGCATACACTGATGGTGTGCGCACACACGCCTTCAACCGCGGTAACCGCGCCAATGCCGCCGCTGCTGATGTGTGTGCTCCTACCGCTCCTCCCCCTGCCCCCCCTGCACCTCCTGCACCTGCGGCGCCGCGTCCTGTTCCTCTGCCTACTCTGCTTGCCCACCCTCCACCTACACCTGCACTGGCAGCAGCAGCAGCGGCTTTTTTCTTGAGTCGCCTCCGTCGCCCTTTGCTCGTGCCCCACCGATCCCCGTCGGGGTCATCATCCTCGTCATCATACCCCGGTGCCAGCTCATCACCCGACCCATCCACGTCATCACCGCTGGAATGATCGCCATCACTGCCAGAATCCCAACCATTCGCCCTCATACCCTCCCTCACACCTTCCCTCACACTGCCCCTCCCAGCCCCTCCCCCACCGCTTCCCCCAACCCCCCCTGCGCCCACGAGCATGGCTATTCCGCCAGTCAGGGGCACAGCAGGGCCCCCATCCATAGAGGCGAAGAGCGCAGCAGCAGTGTCAGTGCGCGAATTCCGAGACAGCACCTCAATCATCCGCGCATACAGCATCGGATCCGGCTCGAACCAGTGGGCGGTCCGGATGCACTCAAACGCCTCGATCGTACGGTCCACGTCGTTCCGTCTCATAAGCTCATTCAGAGCACCCAAAACGCACTCCGGGCCAAAGCACTTGGCGTATTTCCGTAGCACATGCCGCACTTTCCGCTCTCCGCCCGGTTCTAGCTTCCCCAGCTGCACCATCACCACGCCTATCTCCTTCGCTAGGGTTTCCTCGGTTTTCTTCCCGCGCAGCCGCCGCGCCAGGGGGCGTTTCGGCGGAGTCTTCCCCGCTGCGCCCTTCCCCGCGTCCCTCCCCACTCCGCCGATGCCGGTTCCGCCGAAGGCCCCCGTTGCCCCGCCAGCCGCCCGCGCGCCAGCGGATCGCGGAGCTCCGCTGGGGCCCCGCGCGCTACCCATCGCGGCTGCGCCGATGGGTTCCGCCGCACCGTAGTCCCCCCAGTCGTCCGCGCGCGCTCGATTTCCGACGAACGGGCGGCGCGACGGCGTAAAACGCGGTGAATCTTCATCCCGTAAATCGCGTGAAACGCGCGAGTCGCGCGAATCCCGTGAATCCCGTGAATCGCGGTCGGAAAAAGCAACCAACGAGCGCGATGGACTGGCATCAGTCCGCCGCGCCCTTGCGGACCGCCATTCCCCCTCCTCGTCATCAGTTCCCCCCCTTGTGCCTCCCCTCCGCTCTCCGCCGATACCCCCTTCTCTCACGTCTCCCCTCCCCTCTCCTCTCAACTCTCCCCTCCCCCAGCCCCTCCCCCCTGCCGTTTCCCCGAATCTTCCCTCGTAGCGCCCTGCTTGATCCCCGCGCCATTCCCGCGGTCGCGCATGATCCCCGCCGCTCCAGCCACCCCCCCGCCCGCTCCCCCCGTCCCCTGCTCCCCGGGTTCCCCCGAATGATCCTGTTAAAGTTACCACCCTTCGGCGTAACTTGTCTTCGCTACGTCGGAGTTCGCAGAATGGGGATTCGCAGATTCGGAGTGTTGCACGGTGGCGCGGGAAGAATGCGGGCGGGGGCGCGCGGAGGGAAAGGACGAGGGGGGAAGAGAGGCGGAAGGGCAAGGCGGAATGCGGGGAGGCGGAATTCCCTAGAAGGCAAGTCAAGGAGGTCATGTGGGACGGCGGATGATATGATACGGAAGGAGTTCCTTCGCCTCTCCCGACTATGATGGTTCCTGCCTGAGATGTAACGCGCCGCAAACAGGACGGATGGCTCTGTGTGCTTGAAATGATGGCCTTTCGGGCAGACACGACGTTCAACCCCGTCGAATGTTCTCCTCAATTGTTCGCGTTACAATACGCTCTTCAGTTTGACACAGTCAAGATTTGTACACCTGCGAAATGAGTAACGATTTTATATAGAGCATAAGAATTACAGAAAATATGTACATTCTAATGTCCCATGGTGGCCGCTTCACGAGAAAGTACCTACTCTGCTGAACCTGAAATACCTCCCACTTATCACTCCTTCAACCGACAGGATCAGAATTTAATTTCTGTCAGAAGTCGTCTCACGATTAGACTTGCTTCAGCTGCGCGTCATCTTAGGTCAGCGCCGCTTGACGGCCGTGCGTGTCTGCTTTCCCTGTATAATCGAGCCAAGAAAGCCAATTCGCTTCAGGTGCGAATGACTCTGAATTCGCCGCTGTCGTCCCTAGTGTCGTCGCTCGAGCCGCGCGTCCTCCCCTTGCCGACGCAAACTGTTTATTCATTGTCGCCCTTCTTGTCCCCTTTGGACCCTTTCTTACCCCTCTTTCCTCGCGCGTCTTGACGCAACTCCTCGCCCCTCGCCCTTCGCCCTTCGCTTCGCCGTTCGCCCTTCGACCTTCGCCCTTCGCCTTTCTCCCTTCTCCCTTCGCCCTTCTCCCTTCGCCCTTTCAGACCCTCGGTACCTTACCTGTTGCGTTCGCCTCCTCTTCTCTCTCTCCGCGCCGTTCTCACCGCCTTGCCGCATCCGTCGCCGCCCTCCCTTTTTCCACCTCCCCTTCGCTCCCTCCCCCGCAAGCCCAGACTGGAGCGTGTAGTCCAGTGTTATCACGCTTCAGTTTGGGTTGAGCAACTCGTGCCGTCCGTCCGTCTGCCTGCCTGCCAGGCGCGCAGCGAATGGCGAAGAAGAAGACCAGCAAGCGCGTTGCAGCGCCCGCAGATGCTGCCAAGGTGTGCAATCCACCGGTCCTGGCTGCTCAAAGTCCTCTCTCAGAGACTGCAAGAATACAGTCAGTGCCACATTTGAGAATTCTCAAGAGCGGCTCAAAGCGTCGTTTTACTCCAGAGGGAGCAACACTGTGAATTATCTGAGAAAAAACATAAAATGGTTCTAGCAAAGCGGGCCAAGACGAGCTGAGGTGAACAGCGTACAGCGACGTTTTTTAACAGTCCAGTCCACACGTTTAACTCAATGTTGCTGACTGACATGTGAATTCTGTGAATTCTCTGTGGTGCACTTTTTGCAACAATGGGAAAGGGTCTGCCGATGCTCTTGTAAAGATCAGTCGCACTTCCATGAACTACCTGTTCTTTTTTTAAACCCTCCATCCAAACCCGTCAACCTTAATGTGAAACCCTCCCACTCTCCCTTACGTCCCCCAACCCTTCGAACCCCCCTGTTATTGCAGGGCTCAGCGGTTGAAGCAGGGGGTAAGTCTGCTGCGCTGGCATCGGCGCCTGTGGAGGGACGGGAGGCGGACAATGAAGGCACGGAAGAAGCGGGGTATGCCATTGCCCCCCTCCTGCTCTGCGCAGGTTCCTCTGTTAGCCTTTTTTACCCTTCTCATCCCTACCCCCACTCCTTTTGTCCCGCCCCGCACCCTGTCTCGTCTCATTCCCCTGTTCCATTCCCAACTCCCATCCTTTGTTCCCTCCCTCCATCTCTTCTCATCCTTCCATCTCATGAAATGAACCTGGATCCGCTGCTGGCTGCTGGCTGCTGGCTGCTGGCTGGTGGTGGCTGGTGGCAGGCCACAGCAGGCGACAGAGAGCAGGCGGGTGCAGAAGAGGGCTGCCAAGCAGACGAGGCTCATGGACAGTGAGTGTAGCGGGTGTGACTATAGCAGGGATGATGTTGTTTGGCTGATGTGCATCGGACAATGATTCTGGGTTTAGGGTCTAGGGTAGTAGCAAGTGTAAATGGCGTGCGTTTACCAAAATCTGTTCATCATTGGTGCGAATTTAGCAAGTGTTCGCGGTTTGGTATCCCTGTTCATGACCTTCTTCTCCTTCCCTCTCGTATGCTGTGTGCACCAGATTTGAGGCGAACACAGACTCTCATTGCTGCTGCCAGGGGAGACTCAAAGGTATGACTACACATGCAAGCATCGTGTGAGCATGCAATCATTCTTCTCACTTTCTCACTGCCACGCACTCTGAAGCGCACATATAAATCTCTTTCCCCCTCCGCCCCTCTAAGAAGAGGAAGAAGGGCGCCGTGCCGTCTCCTGCCAGCCTGATGCACTGGCTCGCACTGCATACCCCTCCCCTCCCCTCGCCTCCCTTCCAACAGACGAAGAAGGCTTCAGACTTTTTTTGAGAAAACTAAAAAAGAAATCCACTGTATTCCCCTCCCTTCCCTTCCAACAGACGAAGAAGGCTTCTAAGAAGAAGAAGAAAGGAGCAGTATCGAGCCTCCCAACCAGCCTTACGTTGGACACACTCGCCTCGTCGCTGGGGGACGCCCTTCCAGACGCACTGGCTCTGAGCAGGGAGGCGGAGAAGCGGCAAGCAGTGCTGTCCGCGAAGCAGCGCGGGAAGATCGTGTGAGTTCCGCGTGGGGTTTGTAATGCATGGCATGCTCTGCTTGCTCTCCCATCATCGCTGGGGGATGCCCTGCCGGATGCTCTGGCTCTGGGCAGGGAGGCGGAGAAGCGGCAAGCAGTGCTGTCTGCAAAGCAGCGCGGGAAGATCGTGTGAGTGGTGTGAGGAGCGTGGTTGTGAGGAGCGTGGTTGTGAGGAGCGTGGTGTGAGGAGCGTGGTGTGAGGAGCGTGGTGTGAGGAGCGTGGTGTGAGGAGCGTGGTGTGAGGAGCGTGGTGTGAGGAGCGTGGTGTGAGGAGCGTGGTGTGAGGAGCGTGGTGTGAGGAGCGTGGTGTGAGGAGCGTGGTGTGAGGAGCGTGGTGTGAGGAGCGTGGTGTGAGGAGCGTGGTGTGAGGAGCGTGGTGTGAGGAGCGTGGTGTGAGGAGCGTGGTGTGAGGAGCGTGGTGTGAGGAGCGTGGTGTGAGGAGCGTGGTGTGAGGAGCGTGGTGTGAGGAGCGTGGTGTGAGGAGCGTGGTGTGAGGAGCGTGGTGTGAGGAGCGTGGTGTGAGGAGCGTGGTGTGTGGAGCGTGGTGTGAGGAGCGTGGTGTGAGGAGCGTGGTGTGAGGAGCGTGGTGTGTGGAGCGTGGTGTGTGGAGCGTGGTGTGTGGAGCGTGGTGTGTGGAGCGTGGTGTGTGGAGCGTGGTGTGTGGAGCGTGGTGTGTGGAGCGTGGTGTGTGGAGCGTGGTGTGTGGAGCGTGGTGTGTGGAGCGTGGTGTGAGGAGCGTGGTGTGAGGAGCGTGGTGTGTGGAGCGTGGTGTGTGGAGCGTGGTGTGAGGAGCGTGGTGTGTGGAGCGTGGTGTGTGGAGCGTGGTGTGAGGAGCGTGGTGTGAGGAGCGTGGTGTGTGGAGCGTGGTGTGTGGAGCGCGGTGTGTGGAGCGCGTGGTGTGTGGAGCGTGGTGTGTGGAGCGTGGTGTGTGGAGCGTGGTGTGTGGAGCGTGGTGTGTGGAGCGTGGTGTGTGGAGCGTGGTGTGTGGAGCGTGGTGTGAGGAGCGTGGTGTGTGGAGCGTGGTGTGTGGAGCGTGGTGTGAGGAGCGTGGTGTGTGGAGCGTGGTGTGTGGAGCGTGGTGTGTGGAGCGTGGTGTGAGGAGCGTGGTGTGTGGAGCGTGGTGTGTGGAGCGTGGTGTGTGGAGCGTGGTGTGTGGAGCGTGGTGTGTGGAGCGTGGTGTGTGGAGCGTGGTGTGTGGAGCGTGGTGTGTGGAGCGTGGTGTGTGGAGCGTGGTGTGTGGAGCGTGGTGTGTGGAGCGTGGTGTGTGGAGCGTGGTGTGTGGAGCGTGGTGTGAGGAGCGTGGTGTGTGGAGCGTGGTGTGTGGAGCGTGGTGTGTGGAGCGTGGTGTGTGGAGCGTGGTGTGTGGAGCGTGGTGTGTGGAGCGTGGTGTGTGGAGCGTGGTGTGTGGAGCGTGGTGTGTGGAGCGTGGTGTGTGGAGCGTGGTGTGTGGAGCGTGGTGTGTGGAGCGTGGTGTGTGGAGCGTGGTGTGTGGAGCGTGGTGTGTGGAGCGTGGTGTGTGGAGCGTGGTGTGTGGAGCGTGGTGTGTGGAGCGTGGTGTGTGGAGCGTGGTGTGAGGAGCGTGGTGTGTGGAGCGTGGTGTGTGGAGCGTGGTGTGTGGAGCGTGGTGTGTGGAGCGTGGTGTGTGGAGCGTGGTGTGTGGAGCGTGGTGTGTGGAGCGTGGTGTGTGGAGCGTGGTGTGTGGAGCGTGGTGTGTGGAGCGTGGTGTGTGGAGCGTGGTGTGTGGAGCGTGGTGTGTGGAGCGTGGTGTGTGGAGCGTGGTGTGTGGAGCGTGGTGTGTGGAGCGTGGTGTGTGGAGCGTGGTGTGTGGAGCGTGGTGTGAGGAGCGTGGTGTGTGGAGCGTGGTGTGAGGAGCGTGGTGTGTGGAGCGTGGTGTGTGGAGCGTGGTGTGAGGAGCGTGGTGTGTGGAGCGTGGTGTGTGGAGCGTGGTGTGAGGAGCGTGGTGTGAGGAGCGTGGTGTGTGGAGCGTGGTGTGAGGAGCGTGGTGTGTGGAGCGTGGTGTGTGGAGCGTGGTGTGTGGAGCGTGGTGTGTGGAGCGTGGTGTGTGGAGCGTGGTGTGTGGAGCGTGGTGTGTGGAGCGTGGTGTGAGGAGCGTGGTGTGTGGAGCGTGGTGTGTGGAGCGTGGTGTGTGGAGCGTGGTGTGTGGAGCGTGGTGTGTGGAGCGTGGTGTGTGGAGCGTGGTGTGTGGAGCGTGGTGTGTGGAGCGTGGTGTGTGGAGCGTGGTGTGTGGAGCGTGGTGTGTGGAGCGTGGTGTGTGGAGCGTGGTGTGTGGAGCGTGGTGTGTGGAGCGTGGTGTGTGGAGCGTGGTGTGTGGAGCGTGGTGTGAGGAGCGTGGTGTGTGGAGCGTGGTGTGAGGAGCGTGGTGTGTGGAGCGTGGTGTGTGGAGCGTGGTGTGTGGAGCGTGGTGTGTGGAGCGTGGTGTGTGGAGCGTGGTGTGTGGAGCGTGGTGTGAGGAGCGTGGTGTGAGGAGCGTGGTGTGAGGAGCGTGGTGTGTGGAGCGTGGTGTGTGGAGCGTGGTGTGTGGAGCGTGGTGTGTGGAGCGTGGTGTGTGGAGCGTGGTGTGTGGAGCGTGGTGTGTGGAGCGTGGTGTGAGGAGCGTGGTGTGAGGAGCGTGGTGTGTGGAGCGTGGTGTGTGGAGCGTGGTGTGTGGAGCGTGGTGTGTGGAGCGTGGTGTGTGGAGCGTGGTGTGTGGAGCGTGGTGTGTGGAGCGTGGTGTGTGGAGCGTGGTGTGTGGAGCGTGGTGTGTGGAGCGTGGTGTGTGGAGCGTGGTGTGTGGAGCGTGGTGTGTGGAGCGTGGTGTGTGGAGCGTGGTGTGTGGAGCGTGGTGTGTGGAGCGTGGTGTGTGGAGCGTGGTGTGTGGAGCGTGGTGTGTGGAGCGTGGTGTGTGGAGCGTGGTGTGTGGAGCGTGGTGTGTGGAGCGTGGTGTGAGGAGCGTGGTGTGTGGAGCGTGGTGTGAGGAGCGTGGTGTGTGGAGCGTGGTGTGAGGAGCGTGGTGTGTGGAGCGTGGTGTGAGGAGCGTGGTGTGTGGAGCGTGGTGTGAGGAGCGTGGTGTGTGGAGCGTGGTGTGAGGAGCGTGGTGTGTGGAGCGTGGTGTGAGGAGCGTGGTGTGAGGAGCGTGGTGTGAGGAGCGTGGTGTGTGGAGCGTGGTGTGTGGAGCGTGGTGTGTGGAGCGTGGTGTGAGGAGCGTGGTGTGAGGAGCGTGGTGTGTGGAGCGTGGTGTGTGGAGCGTGGTGTGTGAAGCGTGGTGTGAGGAGCGTGGTGTGTCGAGCGTGGTGTGTGGAGCGTGGTGTGTGGAGCGTGGTGTGAGGAGCGTGGTGTGTGGAGCGTGGTGTGAGGAGCGTGGTGTGTGGAGCGTGGTGTGTGGAGCGTGGTGTGAGGAGCGTGGTGTGAGGAGCGTGGTGTGTGGAGCGTGGTGTGAGGAGCGTGGTGTATGGAGCGTGGTGTGTGGAGCGTGGTGTGTCGAGCGTGGTGTGTGGAGCGTGGTGTGAGAAGCGTGGTGTGTGGAGCGTGGTGTGTGGAGCGTGGTGTGTGGAGCGTGGTGTGTGGAGCGTGGTGTGTGGAGCGTGGTGTGAGGAGCGTGGTGTGTGGAGCGTGGTGTGTGGAGCGTGGTGTGTGGAGCGTGGTGTGTGGAGCGTGGTGTGTGGAGCGTGGTGTGAGGAGCGTGGTGTGTGGAGCGTGGTGTGAGGAGCGTGGTGTGAGGAGCGTGGTGTGAGGAGCGTGGTGTGAGGAGCGTGGTGTGTGGAGCGTGGTGTGTGGAGCGTGGTGTGAGGAGCGTGGTGTGTGGAGCGTGGTGTGAGGAGTGGTGTGTGGAGCGTGGTGTGTGGAGCGTGGTGTGAGGAGCGTGGTGTGAGGAGCGTGGTGTGAGGAGCGTGGTGTGAGGAGCGTGGTGTGTGGAGCGTGGTGTGTGGAGCGTGGTGTGAGGAGCGTGGTGTGTGGAGCGTGGTGTGAGGAGCGTGGTGTGTGGAGCGTGGTGTGTGGAGCGTGGTGTGAGAAGCGTGGTGTGTGGAGCGTGGTGTGTGGAGCGTGGTGTGTGGAGCGTGGTGTGTGGAGCGTGGTGTGTGGAGCGTGGTGTGAGGAGCGTGGTGTGTGGAGCGTGGTGTGTGGAGCGTGGTGTGTGGAGCGTGGTGTGTGGAGCGTGGTGTGTGGAGCGTGGTGTGAGGAGCGTGGTGTGTGGAGCGTGGTGTGTGGAGCGTGGTGTGTGGAGCGTGGTGTGAGGAGCGTGGTGTGAGGAGCGTGGTGTGTGGAGCGTGGTGTGAGGAGCGTGGTGTGTGGAGCGTGGTGTGTGGAGCGTGGTGTGTGGAGCGTGGTGTGTGGAGCGTGGTGTGTGGAGCGTGGTGTGAGGAGCGTGGTGTGTGGAGCGTGGTGTGTGGAGCGTGGTGTGTGGAGCGTGGTGTGTGGAGCGTGGTGTGTGGAGCGTGGTGTGAGGAGCGTGGTGTGTGGAGCGTGGTGTGTGGAGCGTGGTGTGTGGAGCGTGGTGTGTGGAGCGTGGTGTGTGGAGCGTGGTGTGTGGAGCGTGGTGTGTGGAGCGTGGTGTGTGGAGCGTGGTGTGTGGAGCGTGGTGTGTGGAGCGTGGTGTGAGGAGCGTGGTGTGTGGAGCGTGGTGTGTGGAGCGTGGTGTGAGGAGCGTGGTGTGTGGAGCGTGGTGTGTGGAGCGTGGTGTGTGGAGCGTGGTGTGTGGAGCGTGGTGTGTGGAGCGTGGTGTGTGGAGCGTGGTGTGTGGAGCGTGGTGTGTGGAGCGTGGTGTGTGGAGCGTGGTGTGTGGAGCGTGGTGTGAGGAGCGTGGTGTGTGGAGCGTGGTGTGTGGAGCGTGGTGTGTGGAGCGTGGTGTGTGGAGCGTGGTGTGAGGAGCGTGGTGTGAGGAGCGTGGTGTGTGGAGCGTGGTGTGTGGAGCGTGGTGTGAGGAGCGTGGTGTGTGGAGCGTGGTGTGTGGAGCGTGGTGTGTGGAGCGTGGTGTGAGGAGCGTGGTGTGTGGAGCGTGGTGTGTGGAGCGTGGTGTGAGGAGCGTGGTGTGTGGAGCGTGGTGTGTGGAGCGTGGTGTGTGGAGCGTGGTGTGTGGAGCGTGGTGTGTGGAGCGTGGTGTGTGGAGCGTGGTGTGTGGAGCGTGGTGTGAGGAGCGTGGTGTGTGGAGCGTGGTGTGTGGAGCGTGGTGTGTGGAGCGTGGTGTGTGGAGCGTGGTGTGTGGAGCGTGGTGTGTGGAGCGTGGTGTGTGGAGCGTGGTGTGTGGAGCGTGGTGTGTGGAGCGTGGTGTGTGGAGCGTGGTGTGTGGAGCGTGGTGTGTGGAGCGTGGTGTGTGGAGCGTGGTGTGTGGAGCGTGGTGTGTGGAGCGTGGTGTGTGGAGCGTGGTGTGTGGAGCGTGGTGTGTGGAGCGTGGTGTGTGGAGCGTGGTGTGAGGAGCGTGGTGTGTGGAGCGTGGTGTGAGGAGCGTGGTGTGTGGAGCGTGGTGTGAGGAGCGTGGTGTGTGGAGCGTGGTGTGAGGAGCGTGGTGTGTGGAGCGTGGTGTGAGGAGCGTGGTGTGTGGAGCGTGGTGTGTGGAGCGTGGTGTGTGAAGCGTGGTGTGAGGAGCGTGGTGTGAGGAGCGTGGTGTGAGGAGCGTGGTGTGAGGAGCGTGGTGTGAGGAGCGTGGTGTGTGGAGCGTGGTGTGAGGAGCGTGGTGTGTGGAGCGTGGTGTGTGGAGCGTGGTGTGTGGAGCGTGGTGTGTGGAGCGTGGTGTGAGGAGCGTGGTGTGAGGAGCGTGGTGTGTGGAGCGTGGTGTGAGAGCGTGGTGTGTGGAGCGTGGTGTGTGGAGCGTGGTGTGTGGAGCGTGGTGTGTGGAGCGTGGTGTGTGGAGCGTGGTGTGAGGAGCGTGGTGTGTGGAGCGTGGTGTGTGGAGCGTGGTGTGTGGAGCGTGGTGTGTGGAGCGTGGTGTGTGGAGCGTGGTGTGTGGAGCGTGGTGTGTGGAGCGTGGTGTGTGGAGCGTGGTGTGTGGAGCGTGGTGTGTGGAGCGTGGTGTGTCGAGCGTGGTGTGTGGAGCGTGGTGTGTGGAGCGTGGTGTGGAGCGTGGTGTGTGGAGCGTGGTGTGTGGAGCGTGGTGTGTGGAGCGTGGTGTGTGGAGCGTGGTGTGAGGAGCGTGGTGTGAGGAGCGTGGTGTGTGGAGCGTGGTGTGAGGAGCGTGGTGTGAGGAGCGTGGTGTGTGGAGCGTGGTGTGTGGAGCGTGGTGTGTGGAGCGTGGTGTGTGGAGCGTGGTGTGAGGAGCGTGGTGTGTGGAGCGTGGTGTGTGGAGCGTGGTGTGTGGAGCGTGGTGTGAGGAGCGTGGTGTGAGGAGCGTGGTGTGAGGAGCGTGGTGTGAGGAGCGTGGTGTGAGGAGCGTGGTGTGAGGAGCGTGGTGTGTGGAGCGTGGTGTGTGGAGCGTGGTGTGAGGAGCGTGGTGTGTGGAGCGTGGTGTGAGGAGCGTGGTGTGTGAGGAGCGTGGTGTGTGGAGCGTGGTGTGAGGAGCGTGGTGTGAGGAGCGTGGTGTGTGGAGCGTGGTGTGAGAAGCGTGGTGTGTGGAGCGTGGTGTGTGGAGCGTGGTGTGTGGAGCGTGGTGTGTGGAGCGTGGTGTGTGGAGCGTGGTGTGAGGAGCGTGGTGTGTGGAGCGTGGTGTGTGGAGCGTGGTGTGTGGAGCGTGGTGTGTGGAGCGTGGTGTGTGGAGCGTGGTGTGTGGAGCGTGGTGTGTGGAGCGTGGTGTGTGGAGCGTGGTGTGAGGAGCGTGGTGTGAGGAGCGTGGTGTGAGGAGCGTGGTGTGTGGAGCGTGGTGTGTGGAGCGTGGTGTGTGGAGCGTGGTGTGAGGAGCGTGGTGTGTGGAGCGTGGTGTGAGGAGCGTGGTGTGTGGAGCGTGGTGTGAGGAGCGTGGTGTGAGGAGCGTGGTGTGAGGAGCGTGGTGTGTGGAGCGTGGTGTGAGGAGCGTGGTGTGAGGAGCGTGGTGTGTGGAGCGTGGTGTGTGGAGCGTGGTGTGTGGAGCGTGGTGTGTGGAGCGTGGTGTGAGGAGCGTGGTGTGTGGAGCGTGGTGTGAGGAGCGTGGTGTGTGGAGCGTGGTGTGTGGAGCGTGGTGTGTGGAGCGTGGTGTGTGGAGCGTGGTGTGAGGAGCGTGGTGTGTGGAGCGTGGTGTGTGGAGCGTGGTGTGTGGAGCGTGGTGTGTGGAGCGTGGTGTGAGGAGCATGGTGTGAGGAGCGTGGTGTGTGGAGCGTGGTGTGAGGAGCGTGGTGTGTGGAGCGTGGTGTGTGGAGCGTGGTGTGTGGAGCGTGGTGTGAGGAGCGTGGTGTGAGGAGCGTGGTGTGTGGAGCGTGGTGTGAGGAGCGTGGTGTGTGGAGCGTGATGTGTGGCGTGTTCTCCTTACTCTTGTCATTTCTGCTTACTCTTGTCATTTCTGCTTGCTCTTGTCATTTCTGCTTGCTCTTGTCATTTCTTCTTGCTCTTGTCATTTCTGCTTGTTCTTGTCAAAGCAAGTTCCTTCCTTCCCTCCACCCTCTCCTCTCCTCCCTTGCACATTTAGATGTGGCTGGTGTTGGACGTACCTTTTATTTATTAGTTTCAAAAGTTCTATTCGTTTCTGTGTTTGCAGTACTACAGTTACCACTTTGGTCTAATTTCGTATTTGTCTCTTACTGTTTGTGTGTGCATGCGTGGTGAGTGCAGAGTTGAGGAGACCAAGCAATTGGCTGCAGTGCTTTCACACCCTGCCTTCAAGGCCAACCCATTTACAGCCATTCAGCAGCACCTCTCAAACACTCTTCCCTCAGCAGTCGCTCCGCCTCCTCTCCCTACCAAGTACGCAACAAGGCAAGCTCAACAAGCCTTGGAGAAGAAGAAAAAGAAGAAGAAAGCGAAGAAGAAAGCAGGTGGAGCGCAGGGGGAAGATGTTATGGAGATGTGATAGTGACGGCCTTGGAGACGAGAGGAGGCGTAATTTATCCCGTTAGTATTCATCTGGGGCGGACGGCCTTGACCTGACCCCCATGAGGGTGACGTCAGGTTGTACAACCCTTTGTACGACCTCTGCGGTCAACTTCGTTTCGTCACGGTGCAACACGGTAAATGGTGAAAACCGCTTTCCACCGTGTGGAACCGTCCTGAGCCATGATATAAGAACTGTGAATGTGTGGGAATTTGTTAAGATAGTGGCTAGGAACCTTGGGGTTTAGAGTAGAGAGAATGGCAAAAAAAGAGGAATGACATTGAGAAGTGACGAGAGTTATACAAGAACCAAGAGGTGCACCACCTAACCACCTACACCACTACACTTATAGCTAGACTACACTTATAGCTAGACTTGTATGCAGTTATAACATAACTCGGACATCCCCCCTTAACTGCATGCAGGAATAGCAAAGTGCAAAACACAACCTGCAGCGGTACACAGATCAGACGAAAGCAGCAGAACGCAAGAGCAGTGACAACCAGTGCAGTAGTGGCAGAGACAGCTGCAGTAAACCCTGAGGCAAGAAAGAAACAAAGAGAAGGTGCATGTGGCGCAAGTAGCCTGGAGCAGGTGCGTGCGGCTAGAAAGGGTGGCGGCAACGCAAGGCTCAACGGCAACGCCTGCAGCTCAACAGCAAAGAAAGACGAACGAAGAGAGAGTAGCATCAGGGGCTGCAGAAGTAGGTGCCACAGTAGCAGAGGGCGACAGCTGCAAATGCATGGCTGTTGTTTCCACGAGGGGGCGCCAAGATACGACGGATACGAGGAGGAGTAGCGAGAAGTGATGCAGCGGAAGAGAGAGGGAGAAGAACGAGAGAGAAACAAAGCTGGTGACTCTCATCCCCCCCTCCAACTTCTCTCCCCCCCCCCCCCCCCACAGCACCAAGTGCTGCAGGGAGAGAGGAAGAGAGAGGGGAGGGACGGGCTGCTGACTGGTCACCCCCGCCACCCCCACATCTCCCCCCCCCCCCAACGGCATATGCCGCAGAAGGGAAGGGGTGGGGGCGTGTTAGAATCTAGCAGCAGGAATGGATGAACTAGCAGCATGCAGGAGTACAAGTAGTAAACCCTAATTGGGCTGTACCCCATATGGGCTACCCCACTACAGCCTAGACAATATGTAGCATATATGTTTGACACACCCCCATAGGCAAGGTGGGGGAGAACAAGGGGTCACACGACCAGTCAAGAGAAGAAAAGCAAGCTCAGGGTGGATCTCAACGTCACCACACATTCTGAGCACAAGCAAAGGGCCACAAGGCCAGTCCACATGCAGAGATATATATGCAACAATAACAGTACAGTGATGACTACCTAGCAAGAGCAGGCATGCATGTATATATATAGATCACAGTACAAGCAGAGACTACAGCAAGTGTGGAAACGTAGGCACAAGACCTAATAGGGCACAAAAGCGCTGATGATCACCAGACGGAAGTGCCTTGGTGAATATATCAGCAGTGTTGGCCCGAGTGGCCACGTGACGAAGACGAAGCTGACCTCGCTGCTGCAACTCTCGAGCCAGGAAGTAACGCAGAGCGATATGCTTCGTTCTGTGCTCCAGTCTGTGCTCCTCACACAAGGCAATGGCCGCCTTGTTGTCAACGTACAGAACTGGAGGAGAACGAGGCCGCTCACCCAAGTCAGTCAGCAGGTAGGTGAGCCAGCGTAGCTCCTGTGCAGCCATGGCGGTGGCGTAGATCTCAGCCTCACAACTGGAGCTGAGAACAGAAGACGAGCTTGTAGTTTGCCAAGAAACAGAGCCAGAGCAAAGGCTGAAGGTGTAACCCTGTGACGACCGCTGTGTAGTCTGGTCGTCAACCCAAGACGCGTCTGAGTGCCCAGTGAGGACAACTGGGCTCGTCCCTCCAAGCACTAGCCCCATGCCTGATGTGCTGCACAAGTAGCGCAGTACCCTCTTAGCAGCAGCCATGTGCTCAGGTCGGTGCCGACCAGGAGCCACGTAGCGAGCCAGAAGACCAAGAGGGTACGCGAGGTCAGGTCGAGTGCAAGTCATCAGGTACATGAGGCAGCCAACTAGCTCTGGGTAAGGACCACTCGGCTCTACGGACTCGTCCGAAGGTGGAGCTGAGAGCGAGTGACCTGTAGCCAGAGGAGTGGCCTGTGCTGAAGACCAGGTGAAGCCGAAGCGCTGAAGGACCTGCTGCACCATGTGTGACTGAGTCAGGGTGATGGTGCGGCGTGCTCTGTCCCAGGTGATCTGCAAGCCAAGGTAGCTGCACAGCTCACCCAAGTCTGTGCACGTGTGTCTCTTCTGCAGCTCTGACTTCACGTGGGCGAGAGCCTCAGTGTCAGCAGTGGCAAAAACCAAGTCGTCGACGTACACGAGGATGTAGAACGGCGGCAGTGAAGTGTCAGTGCGTAGAAACAGCGACGGGTCAGCAGTAGAAGGCGCGAACCCAAGAGCCGCAAGCGTAGTCCTCAATGTGTCGTGCCACTCACGTGGCGCCTGGCGGAGACTGTAGACCGGCCGCCGGAGGCTCCACTGGGTACCAGGAGGGAACGACCCAGTGAAGCCCGGGGGGCGGCGCAGCCAGATCTCCTCGTGCAGGCTGCCCTGCAAGAAAGCTGTGCTGAAGTCAAGAGAGTGAAGCTCGTAGTCACGGTGAGCGGCAACATGCAGCAGCACCCGAAGAGTGGTCATCTTCGGGGTGGGGGAGAAGTTCTGGAAGAAGTCTACTCCCTCTCGCTGGCTGAAGCCTCGAGCAACGTAACGAGCCTTGAAGACAGGCGGAGAACCCGGCGGCCGCTTCACCCTGAAAATCCACATGCCACTGACAATGTTCGCCCCAGGAGGGGGAACCTCATCGACGTAAGTGCCTGTGGACTTCCAGGATGCCATCTCTGCGTCCATGGCTGTCTGCCACTGAGAGGAGTACTCACCCGCGATCGCCTCAGCGTAAGAGCGCGGGGTGGGGATGTCTGGTGCATCCGGGTCTCCCTCAGGTGCAATCAGCATGGACACGAGATGAGGTACAGCAGCCGCAAAGCACTGGAGCTCCTCCTGTCTGTCCTCAAGGACGTCCGTGCCAAGAGCACACTCACCCCCGACGGACGGAGGACAGACAGACTCAGACTCGGCAACAAGACTAGCGGCGTAGTCTAGACGACAGGCAGCAGCAAAGGCAACAAGCTCAGCAACCAAGGCAGACGCAGCAGTAGACTCAAACGACGGGTCAGTGACAACAGTGGCTAACAGACGCGTGACCGTAGGGTGCTCAGCACGAAACCGGTCAGACTTTGGGTCCGGAACGTCAGGCACAGAGGACGCATGACGAGATGGCAGAGGAACAGGCTGCGGAGCAGAGGAAGGACGACGGACTACGAGGTGTGCGCTGGGGACAGCCGGCTGATGCGAACGAGGAACACGACGACCGGTACGACCAGGACGAACAGGCGAGACAGGACGCGACGCAGGCTCACGACGCTCAGCAGGACTACCTGTCTGCTCAGTGTAAGGAGAAGGAGTAGGCAGCGGTGAGCCAGGCTGTAACGGAAGACCAGTAGACGACGGGAGAGTAAGAACCTGACGAAGAACAGAGTCAGGCGGCAGCAGAGACGACGGAGACGGCGGAGCGAAGAACAGTCGTGTCGGCGCAGCTGCACCAGTACCGGTAGCTCCAGCAGCTCCAGTACCTCCAGCAGCTCCAGCACCTCCAGCAGCTCCAGAAGCTCCAGCCCCAGAACCGACACCTCCAGGCCCAGGGTCTCCAACCTCAGTGTCTCCAGCAGCAGCACCCCCAGAACCAGCACCTCCAGTCCCAGGGTCTCCAGCCTCAATGTCTCCAGCAGCA